CCTCATGTCATTCCAAACTTGTGTGTCTTACTTTCTTCTGCAGAACACAAAAGGTGTTTTGAAGAATGTTGGTAACCAAACTGTTTTGATGACCATTGACTTCCATTGTACGGACAAAAAAACAAAAACAAACACAATTCTGAAAATATCTTTTATGTTCCACAGAAGAGTCATACTGGTTTGGAATGACATGAGGGTGGATAAATGATGGCAGAATTTTCATTTTTGGATGAACTATCATTTTAATTCACTCTACTGACCCTGCATTGCCAGACGGCCTGACAGATAATTGACCGTTCTCTTGTTCCATTATATGCCATTCATTTGACTTTTTCTTCTAGTATGAGCGCTAATATCGCAGTGGTGGCGTCTCGCCTCGTAAAGTAGTGTACCCTAGCACATGGCTTCCTGGAACAGCCTTTAAAAATAGATCTGGTGGGGTCGTGATGATTGATGGCTTTCTAATGAGTGTGCATTCCATCAGCAGAGCTCCAAACTGTCCGCAGGCGACACTTTTTGGGTGTCTTCCTCTATCAGCCTGCTCAAGGACTGTGAGAATTTTTACTCCATCCACGCTCAAGGCAGTTTATACAGTCGACCGGCTGCCAAGTACTCAAAAGCTAACCTTAGGGTTTGGGAGCAGCTACATGGGAACCTGTCCGCACACTTCTCAGGTTGCATTCGGCTATTATGTGGCAGCAGTTTTTGTATGTTAAAAATAAGGAGTTGTTTGTTGTGAGAAGTACCTCGAGTCTGCACTGTTTTATTGATTATTAGCAAGCTGTCAGTGATTGTAGTGTAATAATCTGGTTTTGTACAGTGGTGATGTGATGATAAGTCGGATGAGTGACTGTTTTGAAATCACCATAAGCATCATATGGGAAAATGCCATAAACTGTTGTATGTCTGAGTATTTTTTCAGAGTAAACGAGTTCATTAGGAATGATTGGGCTGCCTTTGAATATCTCAGCTTCTGCCTTGAGGCTCTAAAGTTTATTGTTTAGATTTCATGTTTCATTTCAACAAATGTGTTCCAGTAGTGTACATATATTTCTCACCTCTCTAAGGTTACAAAGGAAACGTGTGAGAAATTTTTGACAGAATGTTGCAGCCAGTGGTGTTCTCCCACATGAAGGCTTTTTTTTGTGCAATAAATATTTTTGGCCGTCTAATATTACAGTTGTTTTTCCAGCATTTGTGTATCACCGACTAGATTTAGGAGGTGATACTAAAATAATATTCATTCTTTTTTGACTATTGGCCTGTTGCAATGAACCGCATTAACCACTAGAGGCAATATTACAAAAGAGTGCAGGACTTCTGAAAGCCTCAAGACAGATCCTTCAATTTTCACACTCACACTTATTCCCAGGGGATGTCTAGTGCTGAGATCTCAATGCTGCTACTGTTTTTTTTTTTTAACCATTACTAATTATTAGGGCTGCACGATAAATCGCATGCGATATTTAACGCGCATCTTATCAGT